AAGGAAGAAGGAGGAGGAGAAAGGGGGTCGGGTGAGGAGGGAGACATAGTAGGGGAGAATGAGTAAAGTAAATAACTGCAAGTGCTCTCTAAGATTTACAACATGTTTTTACATGCCTTTCCTCATTTGCCAGGCTAGTTCTGTGGTTTTAATATGCAGTGCTTTTACAGAGGAAAGTAAGTCTCGGAGAGGGTAAGTACTGGGTCCAGGTTGCAGGGGAAGTCAAACACAAAATCTGAATCCCAAATCCTATTTTGATTTTTTCCTAGAGTACACTTTAAGAATCAGTTTCTTTATGAGATGTTCATTGGCCAGTTTTCTGAGACGCAGGGACACCCATTTTGCTGGGTTTGATATCAAGTGTCCTTCCTAGGAGATTCTGACTTTTCCTTTGAAGAACTGAACCAAGGGATTGTTCTGCCCCTGCTCCCTCTGTCCTGGCTTAGTAGAGCAAGGACAGAGCAGGAATGTGTTTAGTCCATCTGAAGATACCAGAGGTGAGTTGGCCCCAACACCTAATGGAGGGAGGGAGATTCAGTGCCTGGGTCACTTCCATCTGTGCGACTTTTATTTGAGATCCCAATTCCCAGAACTGATTCCCCGTATTATCAATCATGCCCTGAAATGCCCTACTTTACCCACAAAGTCTCCAATGACTAAGACTTCTGTATCATGCCACAATTTCACCACAACTGTGTGGTTTCTATATATCTTATTCACCGTCTCACAGACACAATTTTTTATCTTGGATACAATTCTCAGTGTGATTGTGATAAGGGAAAGACAGACGTGAGTGGTGGGAACACAAAGTTAGGGGAATAATTCCATAAAATTGGCTCAATGTGCCGACCCCCACGCGCTGCTTTCTTTTCCAACAAACAATTTACCTTCAGCTGGTTTAAGTGGACAGGATATGACATATTCCTCAGCAAACTACCTGTTGTGAGCAGGAGAAATGCAGGCCTAAATTAGTGTTGATAAGAGGAGCCCAAGTCACACTGAAGGTGGACACCTTTGTGACTCTTTTCACAGACCAGATCTCAGAACCCAGGGAAATAAGAAAGATTCCTCCTAAACATAAATCTGTAAGAATCATGGTTAAGAATCCAATTAGAACCAGTCAGTGTGGGCCAAAATGACCTGGAGTTGTCATGGCCATGGAAATCTGAAAGTCTGATGTCATTCTGCTGTCAGTCAAAAGTCAAGAGGTGAACCTGGGTAGAACTTTTTGGAAGTCTCTTCAGGATCCCCAATAAAACTGAAGTTCAGGAGAGGCATATTGTCCCTCTCTCCAATAAAACTGGAGTTCAGGAGAGACATATTGGGCCTATCCTCTCTGAGAGGAGTCACTCTCTTCCTTGAGAGTGTCCTCTTTCCCTTCCCTTCACCTTCTAATTGCCTGTAACTCTGAGCATCAGGTCTGAAATCTTCCTGACTTGATCATAAGAATTGAGGTTTGAAAGGGGGCCTTCACGCTGCCCTGGTTTACCAGAAGGCCCCAACCTTGTAACAAATGGATCCATGATGTCCCTGTATAACCACTTTTCTATTTGGATGTCCCCTGATTGTCAGTGATCAGCTCATTTGCCAATTATCTTGTCAAACAATAAAAGAAAATATCATCATTCATGGAGTGCATTAGTGTCCAGTATTGTGCCAAACACTGTACCTGGATTACCTTATTTGCTTCCTAAAAATGTCCCTGTGAGGATTCTATGTCTAGACCTTGAATGTTTTTTACCTTAAATTAGGAGGGAAGAGAATAAAAGAGTGATTTGTGCTGAAGAAAAAAAAAGAAAAGAAAAAGAATCCTTCAGACACAAGTATCATTGATTCCATTTAAACTTGGGCCAACAGGATTCATCTTTAAATCTGTGAAAGCAAAGACATATTCTTGGCAAGAATATTGTATATAATGGAAAATAAAGGCATATGTATCTCAAACCCTTATAATACACTTACATAAACCATAAATCCTTAAATTGCCAATAAAATGAATGCTTGGTAGTAATATGCCCCTTAACCATCCAGGGAAATTAGATAAGAAGTTGTGGGAGAAGTTCCTTTGGGACATATTGCTTTACTTTGGCAAAGTGGTGGGAGAGAGGATTGTTAAACAAAAACAAAGAGTTTTTCTTTTTTTTCTTTTTTTTTTTTTTTTGTCTGCTGCAGTAATCATGGAAGTAAAAACTACCAGCAGTGATTTTTAAGACAATTAGAGCCTTTACATTGAAATGCATTGAAGTTCATTACATGATTAGAAAAAGATACAGCCCATTTATTATTATTTATCCACATTAATCATTATGATGAAATGTGTTGGGAACTAGCACATGAATTTCATACTTAGATGATGACAGTGTTGCATGGGGTAATGATCTTAAGCAGTGACAGGTAAACTCGTTTCGTGATGGCTAAAATGCATAAGTATTAACTGTCCTCACTGGAGACCAGAGATTCTTGACACAATTACATTTCTACAGACATAGACCAGTAATGTGAAAACGGGATCTATCCATTATTACTTCAATGTTAAAAAGTCTTTATTTTTTATCTCGTACAGGGCTTGACATCATCGCTCCTGACAATTATAAATTAAACAGGGGTAGAATCTTGCCTACTCTAGGGAATGCAAATTCCCAGAAATTTCACTGCCCAACCTTAAGAATCTCCAAATAATCAGATATCATTTTGAATATCATTCCTTTTGCAGATGACAGATGACACTGACAATGATTGTCAGTGGGTCAATGGCTCCAAAAGGGTAGATATTGTTTCTAATTATTCCTCACTATGCCCCATTATCTCACCCAGTACTTGATATTTAACAAAGACTCTGTAAAAAATGACTATTGCAGGTCCTAAGATCTGCCACTAATTTCCCGTGTGATTTCATGCAATAAGGAACTCAGACTTAAAAACACTAATATCTTTTCCAACACTGATATTTTACTAGTCACTGAGAGAATGTCCTGGGTGTTCACCAGTTTACTATAATGACTACAAGGAAAATAGTGTTCCTCCCAAAAACACTTGAAGTGAAATAATCCCCATCTTCCTCGTTCAACCAATCCTTGACTTTTCCTCACTCAGTCAGCTGCCAAGGGAACACCCATCACTCATCTTTTATAAAAGGATTCTCAAAATCCAGACCATTGCAGTGCTAACAGTTTCTTGTCCAGAGTAAGAGATGTGTATGAACTTCATTTGCTACTGGTTCCACTTTGGCTCTCAGAATTTAGTTTTCATTGTGAATCTTTGTTATTGCATTTAATTAAATAATCCCCCTGCACTTTTTCATGTGTTAACAAAAATCTCTTCTACCACCAGGAGGCAGTGTTGATGTAACTCACAGCTAAAGAAAACTCTCAGTCCAGAGCATCTTGGTGGAACTGGACTCTGAAAACTGTATTTTCTAGACTGATTCCAGGTATAAGAGAATGTTATATTAACTCTTCTTCACAATAATCACCAACAGCTCTGAAAGAGGGGCATAGTACCAATGGAATCCGTTTTTTAAAACCTGCTTGCAATTAATAATACTATCATTTGAGGTTGTTGTTGAAGTTTAATTTACCTTTTATCCATGCAAAGCAATTCATGTACCATGGATTATTTTTTATGGTTAGCTTTGAATGAATCTTCTACATTTATAAAAATGTGAAAAATGATTGAAGGATAGAGTCCTTTTATTCTTTAGGGAAAACTTTAAATATTTAAGAGGAAAGAAAGTTTTTAAGAAGGGGTGAGCTACGGAAAGAGAGGAGAGAGCACTTCCTTTAATATTGGCATCATTTCTAGATGTCCTGCAATCTCACAGCAACACTATGCAGTAAATATCATCGTTCCTATTTACAAGACAGAAAATTAAAGCTAAATCTTAATGAAGTTGAAATCGTTATTTAATGTCCATAATTTAAATTGGGGCCTGTTGATTCAACTGTTACTATCCAAGTCACCCTGCCAATAAAGTAACAGTAACAAGAACAGTAGGTGAACTGGAAAGCATAGCAAATTGGGTACACCAGTCCCTCAATTTATCCCTTTGGTCTTGATTGTAGCCTAGAGATTCATCATTCATGAACACAAGATCAATGGTTAGGGAACAGCCCCAGCCTCTAAGTGCACAAGTCACCCATACAGTGCTTTTAAAAGTTGCATGGCTTCTATTATTATGGTCTTATTGATATTGACCTTCTTCACTTTTTTTCTTTGCTGATTTGAAAGACCATACCTGATACTGCCTTTTCTAAATACTAAGAAAATCATCAAAGCCCTGTCTTTCTGGCTTCCAAAGCCTAAACGCCAGGAAGAGAATTCAAAAAGTAATTAGAGTCACAGTGCTCACCACAGGACTCAAGCCCCCTGTCCTAAACCCCATGGAGTTAGGAAAACCCCAGCATGACCAGTTTTGTGAGTTGTATTTCTGTTAGATCTTCTTTGGTCTTTTACTGACCATCACCTATGACCAGGTTACAGGAATAGCAAGTGAAATTGTTGATTTTTTTTAAACTCACAGGATTCTTTTTTCCCCAAAGTAAAGAAAGGAGTAACATAGTTAAGTGCCAAGATATTTCTCAGATATTCAAATAGAGGAGCAGTTTGCCTTAACCTCAGAATTAAGTAGTAATGTTGTACCCATCGCATGCTTGTGCAAAATTAAACAGCCTTGACTCTAATTGTTCCCTCCAAATTTTTGTTTGCTACAATAGGTAAAAAAAAAATTATCCATGCTTATTACAAGTTAAGAACTCTAGAACTTTTGAAAGATTTGGTGAGCCTGCCAATGATCTATGGAGAAACTAACTGGAGTAGATCTGGAGTGAGCATTTCTACCAAGGGAAGTCGAGAAGCAACCAGGAGACCTTCTGACAGTTGGAACCTCCCCACTATCACTCTGTGTGCCCTTGAGGCAGGACATGAGGATTCAAAGCTCCTGTTCCATAGAGAAAGGGACTGAGGGAGCAGGGGTAAACTCAGCCCTGCTGGGAAAGCCTTCACACTCAGCAGGTGAGTGGCCATTTGTAATCATCTCCCCTTTGATTTGGACTGTCTCTGGTGGCAATTTATGGAGGAGAGAACTTGGAGAAAGGAAGGTAAAGGTAACAGCTTTTTGCAGAAAATGGTACAAACACACACACACACACATACACGTACACACACTCACACACACACACACACACTCACACACCATTTAATGTAATGCCATTTTTTTATTACAAACAATGATTTCAAAATATCTGAAATGCATAGTGGTGTCTTAAGACAAGGAAATGAAGTACGTTTTATATTCGTCATGCAAGTTCTTCCCACAGATCTCTCCCCATCTCCACAGCTGTCACAAAAAGCTCTGAAAAAAAATAAAAGGTTACCATCAACTGTCAAATCTTGTCAGTTCAAAACTGAGGACAATAAAAACCCGAAACAAATGTCTTCTTTGGGGGAAGTTATGGAGTCATGTGGTTAGCTACCAGTGTTGGGGCACTTAAATAGTCAATAAAAATGCCACGATATATATTTTTTTTCTTCCCAAGATGGTTCATTCTCGTTTCGCAAGATCACCGTAGCCGTTGCCAAATAGTCACCACAGTGACTCCAGTTGAAAAGTTCAGGAAGATGGCATTCTGATAAAATGGTTTCCCTGGAATGGAGACCATTGGACACCTAGAATCCTACAGCAAGTTAAAGGCAGTTTGCTGAGAACCTGCTCTGTCTGGGCTCCCCTGTCTGTGTTCTGTTAAACGGTTCAGCTTTGCAGCAACTGGTTGGAGCATAATTGGCCGTTTGTATCCTCCAGCTAAGGGGCCAGTGGTGAATGCCGCTTCTAAGCCAAGAGCTGAACCCCACCCTGAGCAAATTTGGCTTTAAAAACAGGCCTTCAAAAAAACCTACTTCTCAGTTGCCAAATACTCTAACATAAACAACTATTCTGGTTTTGAAAGAAAGATGGATCAGAACTAGATGAAAGTACTGTTGCTTTTTCACCTTCATTCTAAGCTGTCAATGAACAGGAATAGACCCAGACCAGAAGGTATCCACTGACTTAGCTATCAGAGAGTGATGTGGTCACAGGGCTGATACAGCATAAAGGAAGGAATCAGATGGTCCTTGGATATCCACTTATTTATGTAGACACATATTTGCATTCTTACCTAAATAAACACTTATAGGTATTTATGATCCTGGAAGAAATTTTAAATTTTTAACAATTTTTAAATTTTAATTCAGAAAACCATTTTTTAATGTTCTTTATCAATGACCCTTATCTGGCCTAAGTCACACACTAAATTTCATTCAAAGGAAAAAAAATTGTTAAGTGTTATTTTTAAGCATTTGAAAAGGAAAGAAACACGCCTTTATTGAGGTCAAATTATTTCTTCCATTTTTAATTTTGTTTATTTACTAAACACTTATATAACTCTTACTATGTACCAACCACTATTTTAAACACTCTATAAATGTCAACTTATTTAATCATACAACAACCCTATAAAATATGGACTATTATTATTCCATTTGAGGAATACTGAATGCAGAGAGGCCAAGTAACTTGCCTGAGGTCACACAGCTACTGGGGGTCATGCAGGGATTTTAGCCAGTTATTCTGCCAGTAAAGTCTGTGTTCTTGATTTTGCTTCTTCTGTAAGTGCAAATTAATTTAGTCTAAAAAAAATGTAAATAAACAAACCGAAATAATTCTTCACAGATGAGAAGCCGAGGTCACAGGTCTTTCTATAACTGACCTATTTAATTCAAGCTGAATCAAAACAAATTCAGTAACGCTTTTATGCCAAATCAGGACAGTGGCAGTCACAAAGATATTTCCATATAAAATGTATTTGATTTTTATTTGGAAATGATACCAGGTCTCTTCAAACGCCCTGTACTCATGACCTTGCAATTCCTCCACGTGGTGAGTGACATGGTTCTCTGTGGATCACCAGGATGGTCTATCCATCTCTGTTCAATAACTGGTACAGCTCAGTCACTTAGGGCCTGTTACCAAGGAAGATTTACAAAGTGAGTTTGAAAGAGTCAACTCACCTGGCAGCTACCAATTCATTGTAACATGCAGCAAAATTTAGATTGATAATAAAATGTTTTTTATTAGACACATCCTCAGCGCATCTGCTATATGATATCTTTAAGGGTCTTTTTATTGAAAGTCTTGGCAATTATCATAACATCTATATCATAAAAAGTTACAATTTTGTAAAGTGATAATGTTATAAAATTTTATGTCTACATATAAAAGCTTGCTGTGACTTGATTTTGAGCTGATAAACAAGAGAATAAAGATCTTAGCAAAGAAACATTGTTATTATAAAGTTGAAGAGTTATAAGGCTATAAAGTTATAACATTTAAAAGTTTGAAGTTTTCCTATCAAAGTTTGCTGTGATTGAAGTTGAATTTCATTTTGAAAGGTGATTGAGTGAGGCAGCGATTACTATTTGTGACTGTAAATTCTCTGGATGTGTGTGTGTGTGTGTGTGTGTTTGGTCTCTCTTAATTCTCCTTTCAGCTTCAACTTCTGAAGAAGATGGTCTTCATAGAAGACCCACCTCTGCTCCCGAAACACCAAAGACACCTGATGAATCCATGTCTTTAAAGCTATCGGAGAACTGAAGAGCCATCTAGAGGGAAAAGAACTGTTCAGAATGTCTGATGTATTATAGGGTCAAATGTGGGCTTGTCCCAGGGAGCATCCTCTTGCCGGACAGGAAGTTACACAGAGCTGAGGTGCCAAAATTAGAGCGATAAAGGACATCAGAGAGACTATGACTCTCTTAAGACATGCGCCATGTATGTTAGTCAGATTTTAATCAGTGCAACCAAAATACCCAAGAACAACTTAGAAGAGGAAAATGTTTATTTTTGAACTCAAGGTTTCAGAGAACGAGCCCATGTTCGGTAAAATCCATTGCTCTGGACCCAAACATCATGACCTAAGGGCACAGCACAGAAAAGCTGCTTACCTCATGGTTGCCAGGAAGCTGAAATTGAGATAGTAGGAAGGACCACAGGGAGGATGTAGCTTTCCAGGACACCCCCTGTAACCCATGTCCTCCAGTTACCCCACCCCCCACCCCTGCCACCTGCCTACAATTACTGCCACCCCAGTCAGTCCATTCAAAGCAGCATGGACTGATTAGGCTCACACAATCTGACCATTTCACCTCTGAACACTTCTGCATTAACACAGAAGCTTTTAGGGTCAACTCATATCTAAACCATAACATTATGGCTTGAAGTTTTAGGGTCAGAAACCCAAAAGGCTTAGCCAAATAGCTTTCAAAGACAGAGAATAAACCCCGATGTCCTCACAGGACTCAGTAAAAGATCTTCCAGGGTGTGGCCACCAAAGGGCCACACTTTCACCAGAAATGGACTGCTTATCACCAAAACTGCAACTAGCCTAGCCTGATCTGGGTCCATTTACAGTTGAGTCCTATCTCATCACACACTAATACACACTATCTAGGTGGCTTAGAGAAAGAAAGAAAAAGAAAGAAAGAAAGAAAGAAAGAAAGAAAGAAAGAAAGAAAGAAAGAAAGAAAGAAAGAAAGAGAAGGAGAGAGAGAAGGAGAGAAAGAGAGGGAGGGAGAAGAGAAAAAGAGAGAAAGAAAGAGAGAAAAGAGAAAAGAAATCTAAACATGCTACAATTTCTAGTATCTAGTCAAACACTTAAGAAAATAAAATAATTATATGATTGATATACAAAAGGAGAAAAACACATATATTAGATAATCCATACATGATCCACACATTAGAGGTAGTACAAAAATGTTCCAAAGTAATTACTGTAAGTTTAAGTCAAGAGAGTAGTTGATTATTAGATTAAAATGTAGAAAAATCCCAGAAAAATATTAGTAAGTACAGACAATTATAATTTGCAAATACCAAATTAACACTCTTGAAATTAAGAGCTGTATGTGTGTACAGGTATATCAGCAAGTGGATGCAGTAGGAAATAGGATTATTAATCTCAGAAACAAGTGAAGAAAAAATACATACACCTAAGAGAGAAAGAAACGAAAGAATGGGAAGATAAGCAACATGGAAGAAATGTATCAGAGGCAGCCTAAGGATATAAGACACCTATACAAGGTTACAGGTAAGAAAACAAATAAGAACAAAGTAAGCTGGGCCTGGTGGCACACACCTGCTGTCCAGCTACTTGGGTAGCTGATTTGAGAGCATCCCTTGATCTCGAAGGTTCAAGAACAGCCTGGGCAACATAATGAGAACCTGTCTCGAAAAATAAGTCAATAAACTAGAAACAATATTTTAAGAGCTAGTTGCTTGCCATTTTCTAAAATTTATGAAAGAAATCAATTCACTAATTCAGAAAGCTCACTTGACCACAGAAGGGTGTATAAGACACTTAGTCATGTCATAGCTAAACTGTTGACAACTAGGACAAAGAGAAAAGCCAGAGAAAATAGAAAACTTTGTTTCAAACTAACCACAAAAAAGCACTGACTACACAACAGAAGTAATAAAACCCAGAAGACAATGGATTGACATTTTTTTAATACTGAAGGTCAATGAGCGTGAACTTAGAATTGTATGTGTACAAATAAGATGAAAACACATTGGATTAACAAAATATGGCAAGAATTTGAAACCAACATATTTTCAATGAATTAAGGGTTAAGGAGAGTTTATTAGGTGGAAGTATGAAGTTAGCCTTAATAGAAATAAGGAAATTCAGAAAGGAATGAAAAGCAATGGAACAGTTATTATATATGTATATATAAGTGAATATTGATTCCACAAAACAATAATTCTAATATCTTCTTGAGTTCAAAGTGTACAGAGAAGTAAAAGGGATGACAAAATATTGCAAATGGCAAAAAAGATGTAGAGTTTAGAAGATCCAAAGTTGTAGGAATATTTAGAAAATGGTAAAATCAAACTTTTGCATTAGATTGCGATAATTTAAGAATTCATTTTGTAGTCATGAATTGAAAATTTGTCATGATATTCATCAACTGTAATAATGTTTACCATACTTTGTATTTTTCCTTTCTATTACATTCATGTCAAAAAAATTATTTATAAAATAAACCATTTTTCTAATTATCAAATTAAGAATTCATGTTATAATTCCTACATAATCTATAAAAGAATAATAAGAATATTTTTTTAAAAAAAACAGGGTAATGCACCATAGCTGGAACAATTTCATAAACAAAATGAATAATGTTGGATTATAACTCAAAATATTAAAATAAATACCCAAGAGTCCATACTGATAAATACCAATAAGTCCATACTGATATAAATAAATGATTGATATAGCTAAATATCTCATTGAGAGTAATTTGAAATTATGTAGGTACTTT